AAACCACTCGACTAGCTTCAAAACGCGTTTTTCGGCAAAATCTCTAGGAGCGAATGGGTTAAATACTGCACAGCGTTACAATACTAATGTTACATGACATTGCATGATATTACATTACAATAAATTACAAATACATTACATTACATTACACTATGAACTTTAACGGTAAAGTAACTATACAAAAAAGAAAAGTATGTTCTAAGTATAGATGGCACTAGGGTACAGAGTCCAAAGGCAGAGCCCACTTCTTATTAAATTTGTCCATTTTATTAGTTTTAACACATATATACTTTTCTGTTTTATACTTAATTTTAACCTTGGATGAAAAGGCAGTTATGACTGGAAGAGTCTGATTTTTTCTACAACCCCATAAGTATAGTTTAGCGATCAGTATCAAATAATTCAGTAAAGGGCAATTTGTATATAATATTCCTGTAATAACGTCTTGTAAGGTCAGGCAGATGAATTCTCTTGTCAATGTGTAATAGTAATATTGAAATTCCTTCCAAAACTGCTTGGTGTGTCTACATTCGAAAAAGATGTGGTAAAGGGATTCCGAATCCGTTTGCATAGTGAACATTTATCATCTTGAATATAACCTATTTTGCATAACTTTTTATTGGTAAATAAAATTGAATTAAGGACTTTGTATTGAAAAGCTTTTAGATAAGGCTCAAACGCTACTTCATGTGGAAGAGGGAATACTTTTTTCAGCTGGTCTTGGGTTAGATTGAAATTGTGAGTCCATGAGTTGACAGCCCAAACCGTGAGAGTTAAAAGGTCTGGGATAAACTTCATTGCAAGCTTAATTTCTCAGACTTGAAAGTTAGCTGATAAAAGGTTTCCACAAAAAAATGCGGGCATTAAAATGGAATTAGAAACAAAATTTATTTGTTCATATGGTTTAAATTGAAGTTTGTTATTTCAGTCATGATTGTGTCTCTGAATTTTTCTCATTCAACTGGAATCTGCTAATGTTCATTAATTTTCATGACTTTCTCTGGCTTAATTCAATCAATTGAAAGCATTTGGATGCGCAATTTAACATTCTTTGGTGGCAACATGTTTCGAATTTTTTTTGACAGAAAATTTGTTTTCCAAAATTTTATAAGCCAAAAACAAGAGAGTTTAAACATCATGTGTGCCACAAATGGCGAAGTTGGCCATTTGCTTAAAAAATTTTAGGGAGTAAAAATGTCCTTCTTCGGGTTCCATCCACCAAAATGTATTGGTCAGGTCGGCAATATTCTACATTATTGTTAATTTTATTTTAAATGCACTCTGCCAGCTGTTAGTGAATTTCACGTATAAGTTAAGACTTGTATGTTCATTTATTCATAGAGTCACAGTGGGTTCAATTTCTTCAGGATGCACAGATAACCAAATTATCTTACCCATGGTTCTAACTTTTCTGTGTTAATTCTTTGTTTCTTTCAGATTACATGATCCTTCTTTGTGATGGATAATCTCGTCAAAGTTACATTGAGGTCTCAGACCATATTCAGTGGCTTTCTTTTTTTATTCTCTGTGATTTCCTGGTCCACTGTCATTAATCAACTTAAAGACTATGAAGGCAGAGACAGGCTGCAATTCAACTGTATGCCGGAAGAAATTAAATTCAAAACACAGCGTTGTTATAACAATTACACTTCTGCCATGAGTTCACACCTAACACCGTTGGGTTTTGCTGGTATTACCTTTGGTGTGTCAGGATTTGGCTGGCTGTTTGTTACTCTGCTAGGTGTCGAGATGTGGCGACGCATCCGTAAAGAGGCAAATATAGAGAGACAAAAAAAGTTGGAGAGACTATTTTTTTGGGTGTTTATTTTTCACATCTGCGGTCAGTTTGTCCTTCTAGTTGTCATGATCGGACTGTTCTTGCGTTACCAGAAACTTAANTGTGTCAGGATTTGGCTGGCTGTTTGTTACTCTGCTAGGTGTCGAGATGTGGCGACGCATCCGTAAAGAGGCAAATATAGAGAGACAAAAAAAGTTGGAGAGACTATTTTTTTGGGTGTTTATTTTTCACATCTGCGGTCAGTTTGTCCTTCTAGTTGTCATGATCGGACTGTTCTTGCGTTACCAGAAACTTAAATATCCTGCAGAGTATAGTTGTTTTTCAGCAAACACAACGCTCACATGCAACGACTTACGATACAAAGAGAAATCAAACCTCAACATTGCTATTATTGTGGTCTTTTCAGTATCCATTGTATTCTGTTTATTGACCATAACTCATTTAGCATTATCAAAGGATGAACTATCAAAGCTATTGCTAGGAAATATTGAAGAAGACCATAATGGGGAGGAGAACATACCTTTACAAGGTGAGTTACTACAATGCTATCAACATTATATTAGTCCTCAAAGCTGCCTCACTCACTAAAGAGCACCTTCCTTGAAATTATTTTGATCAAGCAAGGGACCTATTAAACTGTAGTTGTCTTTACAGTTACCAGTTACCATTTTTAGCTTAGCTTTTAGTAAGCTTTACCATCAATGATTGAAAAGAAAATGTCGAAATTTTAAATAACTCCTCTTTCTGAGAAGAAAGACAGAGCTTTATTTGCCTCTGTCAACTCACCGTGAAGGAAAAAGTTTTTTTTGTCATTTCTTGCAAATGCTGTTAACAGCGTTGGGCTACAATCGAGGTGAGCTTTGTTTATCTGCAGTGTTCTTTGCCATGTTAACTTGCTGGCACGTACAGTTTTCGAAATTATTTGCTTTACTTTTTTTCTCCTTAAATTTACTTCTATTTCTACTCAAAATTGGTCTTGTGATGAAATCCCGAGTTCACAAAACAGTTAAACAAAGCGGCCTCGTTTTCCTCTGTAGTGGTAAAAACATTGTTTGAGCGTATGAAAGTCAACTACAGTAAATCACTTCATAATAAATCACGCTGTTTAAACACCATGGAAGTCTTTTCTGACCTTCAAAATCATCGACACTGGGATATTCTTGTATTTTCAAAAAGTTCTTACACGACTAAAACTTCATGGTCGCGATTTTGTTTTGCGTTATATATATTCACCGCCTAGCGCTTTGAATATCTAAGCAATGTCCACCCTTTCTATGGGTTTACCAGTGTGATAACCCATGCGGGATGATGGGAGAACACGAGAAAAGCTTGTAAATCATGAGCCGAAGGCAAGTGATTTCCAAGCTTTTCAAGTGTTCTCCCAACATCCCGCGTGGGTTATCACTCCGGTAAACCCATAGATAGTGTGGCGTATTGCTTTCATAAAATAACTTTAAGTTTTCTATGAGTTTACCAGCACAATAAACCGTAGGTTTTTAACCAATCAGAATGCACGTACTATCTTAGTTATTTTAAATGTCATAGTCCGAGATAGCAAACCAATCAGATTGCTTGAATCGCGAGATCACTCAGTGTGTATATACTAATAAGTTATATAAGCAGCAACGATTAATCTTAAGATTTCCTGCAAATTGAGGATATATTTAAATGGCAGGTCTCATTGTCAATTTATAATCAATCAATCAATCAATCATATCTTTATTTCAATTCGTTCATTTTAGCAGCATTATTTCTGCTAGTATCTCCGAAAGAGAAATAATAAATACCATGGAATAAAAATAGAAATAGTGCAATTAAAATACATGTGAAATATTGACATTAATTATACCCACATATAATTATATACTTTGAAGTAAACATTGATTGTCATCAACGTTAACTGCATGTTGTTAAGCTTTGTAAGCAATTGAATAAAAAACTATTTAACTCAGTCAGAAATTTTCAGTCCTTTGAAAGACTGCTTTCACTAAACAAGTCATGAAATTTGCCCTTGACGTTTAACCTATAGATTAACACATTTATAAGAAATTATGATATTGCAATTGCTGTTGTTTGGTAACCTGACTGACTTTATGACATGCACTAGGTCTACCAGCCTACCTTGCATATTCATTAAAATGCAAAAATAACAGTTTGGTACTAAAAATGTTCTGATATACCTGCATATGTGTTTTTCACTAATCCCTCTCAACGTCAGAGAACTGAGTGACTTCTAAATTTTCAGTCTTGTTCAAATTTATTCTTGTTACTGTTACAGATGTTGTTTCAAAACAAGAGTCTGCTGATAGAGATCACTCAAAAACAGCAGGTAAAGAAATAGGTTAGTCTGTGACCTGAATCCTTAGTCTGTAAGAGCCCTTGATGGGCCTTTGTCACGTGGCACCCATTTTGTCCTGAGAAACTGAAGTAGCTTTGTTTCCTGTCTAGCCTTGTTCCTAAGTTTTTCACTGCAAAGTTGAGGGTGGTAAAACAAAGCTTTTTTTCAGTCTCTCAGGACAATAATGAAACATTTGTAAAAAATCATCACATTGCATATCTATTCAAAGATAAAGTTCTTAAAATTTTATGGTATTTAGTATCCGATAGTGCCAGGTCCAGACCTGGAGATAAGGGGGGCCTAGTCATCTGGACCTTGGAGAGGGGGTGGGGAACGGTCTCTGAAAAAATTTTTTTCAGCCCTTCAGGCCTCATCAGTTTGGTCTAAAAATAAGAGGGGGGCCTGGTCCCCTTGAGTCTCCTCCCCTGAATCTGCCACTGTCTGATATCCAAACCACCGTCACAGTTGTGATCTTCTTTGTTTTCTTCTTTATGAATTATTCTTTATGAATACCACTAATGAGTTGTAGAATGGATCTGCTTAAACTCTGGAATATCTTTATCTATGTGTTTGAGTATAGTTTTTTTACGGTTCTAGAAGTGAACGCAAACTAAAGTTCCGATGTAAACATGCAAATGGCATTCAAAATGCCTACAGTCCTATGTTTTCTGCGCATTGCAAGTGTGGACAAACCTACCTGCCGTAAAAACCTATAATCAAATACTTGTGTCGTCCAAGTTTGCGGATACTTTACCAATAGGAAATGTGGAGGAATGTAGTGTGCATTGTTTTTGCAAAAGAGAGCCTAACGTCGTGACAGTGAATATTTTGTAACACGGAGTCTTGGGTCTGTTTGTAGGTTTAAGGTTGAGCTTTGAATTGTAAGGTTCATTGTATAGGCCACTTTTATATTGCCCATAATACACCTTGGTTACCACCCATAATTTAGCAAAGTATTGTTTTCTCTTTTCAATTCCTATGCAAAATTTGCCTGGAGTGAGGCCGGGGGTACAAGACATGTATTATCTGCTGTATCATATGTAGAAGTAGCAAATTGCATTTAATTCATACATGTCAAATGAACATTTCTGATGACTTAACGCACTAATTAAACTGATCTGATCATGCGCAGTGTTGGTTCCCGTGTTCGCAGAAACATGCAAAAAATGCAAAAATAACAGTTTGGTACTAAAAATGCTCTGATACCTGCATATGTGTTTTTCAATAATCCCCCTCAACGTCAGCGAACTGAGTGACTTGTAAATTTTCAGTCTTGTTCAAATTTATTCTTGTTACTGTTACAGATTTTGTTTCAAAACAAGAGTCTGCTGATAATGATCACTCAAAAACAGCAGGTAAAGAAATAGGTTATAGTCTGTGACCTGAGTCCTTAGTCTGTAAGAGCCCTTAATGGGCCTTTGTCACACGGCGCCTACTTTGTCCTGAGAAACTGAATTAGCTTTGTTACCTGTCTAGCTTTGTGCCTAAGTTTTTCACTGCAAGGTTGAGGGTGGTAAACAAAGCTTTTTTTAAGTCTCTCAGGACAATAATGAAACAATTGTGAAAAATCATCACATTGCATATCTGTTCAAAGATAAAGTTGTTAAAATTTTATGGTATTTAGTATCCGACAGTGCCAGGTCCAGACCTGGAGATAAGGGGGGGGGGGGGGGGGGGGTCGGACCTTAAAGAAGGGGTGGGGAGTGGTCTCCAAAAAAATTTTTTCAGCCCTTCAGGCCTCATCAGTTTGGTCTAAAAATAAGAGGGGGGGCCTGGTCCCCCTAGGGCTCCTCCCCTGGATCTGCCACTGTCCGATATCCAAACCACCATCACAGTTGTGACCTTCTTTGTTTTCTCTTTATGAATTATTCTTTATGAATACCACTAATGAGTTGTAGAATGGATCTGCTTAAACTCTGGAATATCTTTATCTATGTGTTTGAGTATAGTTTTCTTTACGGTTCTGGAAGTGAATGCAAACTAAAGTTCTGATGTAAACATGCAAATGGCATTCAAAATGCCTACAGTCCCATGTTTTCTGAGCATTGCAAGTGTGGACAAACCTACTTGCCGTAAAAACCTATAATCAAATACTTGTGTCGTCCAAGTTTGCGGAAACTTTACCAATAGGAAATGTGGAGGAATGTAGTGTGCATTGTTTTGCAAAAGAGAGCATAACGTCATGACAGTGAATATTTTGTAACACAGAGTCTTGGGTCTGTTTGTAGGTTTAAGGTTGTGCTTTGAATTGTAAGGTTCATTGTATAGGCCACTTTTATATTGCCCATAATACACCTTGGTTACCACCCATAATTTGGCAAAGTATTGTTTTCAGTTCCTATGCAAAATTTGCCTGGAGTGAGGCCGGGGGTACAAGGCATGTATTATCCGCTGTATCATATGTAGAAGTAGCGAACTGCATTGAATTCATATATGTCAAATGAACATTTCAGATGACTTAATGCACTAATTAAACTGATCTGATCATGCGCAGTGTTGGTTGCTGTGTTTGCAAAAAAATAATTTCTCAAACTTGTTCGTAAAGAGAGAACAAAGAAAATCACAACTTACCGTGACGGTGGTTTGGATATCAGATAATTATTATCATAAAATTTTGCAAAATTTATCTTTGACTTTCTCCAAGAATTGTACCATAAATGATTGATTAAGCGCCGCGACGCTTATATGAGAGCGGCGCTTATTTGAGAGCAGCACTTATTTCAACTACGGGTAAAACAGTGAGGGGAATATGGAGAGAATTAAGTGAGGCGGGTACTTGGTATGCACGATTTAGTACGAAATATGGTGATCTCAAACTGTTATATGAACCTGGTTTCAAGAGCTTCCCTACATTAAAACTTTAGAAATAACGAGTTGGTTGAAGTCCTATTTCTCAAGGGATATCAAGCACCATAACAGAGGTGGGGCCTTAATATGTAAATCCCAAAATTAGTGCCACGGTGGTGCTTATTCATGTCTGTTAAATTATTTTTGGTAAAGGTGCTGCACTTAATAGCTGGATTATTTATGGTAGTTCATTTGAGAAGCTACATCAAAAACTCCACTCAGTATTTCATCCGATATCCAGACACATGCACCTTGAAGTCAGTCTTTAAAAACTCGGCTACACCTCGTTTTTCAACCCACTTTTCGGAGTCTGGATATCGGATAAAACCATGCCTGTCGTTTTTGATATATTACTTTTCAAACTCGTTCATTATTCATGATCATACAGCCAAAAGCCAATAAATGACAATTATTTGGGTCAGGTGGATGAATCTTGATATCTAATGAAACACCAGGTAAAACACCACCAGGTTTTCATCTGAGGTGAAACATGTTTTTCATCTGAGATCAAACACTTGCATTTTAATGGTGTTTTATTGATTAACACAACTCATGGGAACAATGAAATACCAGCTAGAGAAAACATTTCACTGCATAATTTCTTATTGTTTCATTTGAGAAGACCTCACGGCCTCGTGCTTTCATCTGTTTCTCAGTGTTTGGAACCCATGATGAAGCACTCTCCCTCGTTTTTTACATATTACACAAAAATGTCTGTAGTCTCTTAGTTCATGTAGATTCAGCAGGGTAATGGATCATTTTAAATCTATAGTTTTCGGTACTGTCACTGTTCTGTGTCTTAGACTCCTTATTAAAACTCATTTTGAGGTCTCAAATGATTATTAAACTCGGCTCCACAAAATCTCATGATTTTTCAATGTCTATTAATTATTTGCACATGCTGAATAATTATTGATCTGCTCATCACCTGGTACTGACAAATCACTTTATTTTGCTCACCCTCATAAAATAATTATGTTAGTTCACAACGGCTTAATAGACTTGGTCTTTAGCTATGAGTGTGTTAATGCACCAGCAATTCTCGTTTTGAGACACCTGTGGCTGGAGACATTGTCAACGACCATGGCGATCAGTGTACGAAGCCCTAGAGCTTCTGCTTGCTCTCTTCCATAGGCTACGTCTGATATTCACAAGTGCAGTTAATTTTAAAATTCCCCCACCAAATGATTCATACCTTAATTAGACTATTAATTGACGTTTATTCACCGTAATATATCTGTATAATACACTGTAGTTTTTAGGTAATGTTATGTTTTTTATGCAATGGTTAGAATCCGAGATGTCAGAATCTTCACAGGAAGGCAGTGATGACATCACAGCCCAGGTTACAACTGGACTCCCATCTAAAGATGATACAAGCAGCCCTCAAGGGGACCCTCCTGAGCTTAATAAAGTTCTTCCATCCTCCGCTGATATTAAGGCAATTACCAAACCTTCAAAACATGCTGATCTGCCAGTTGACATTCTGTTACTTACAGTTACAAACTGTGAGTTCGTAGCTTGTTATAGTGAGCTAAAAAACCCCTATAGATGTTGGTTTGATGGTCTTGGCTATGTTTACTTTTCTGATGTGGGTCAAAGTCAAGAGGAGTTAAAAGTTGCTTTACTAAGATGTTACAAAAATGGTATTGGTCCTGGTGGTTCTCTTGTATCTGTAAAGAATGCAGCCTCCGTGCTAAGACCCAAAGCAGTTATTTCTGTAGGCACATGTAGTGGCCTTGACCCTGCAAAATCCAAGTTAGGAGATGTTGTTGTGTCTGCCAAATTAGCAACATATGCATCGAAAGTAGTGACCAGCAATCAAGAGCAGTCAACTGGTATGAGAAGTTATGTGAGCAAACGCTTTCTGAATGTCATTAAAAATTGCACTGATGGATGGCAAGCACCTTTGAAGAATCCTGAAGCTCAGCAAGTTCAAGTTTATACTGATGCTGAGTTTTTGAGTGGACCAGAAGAAGTCAGAGCTGAGTGGCGGCGGGATCAACTTGCTAAAACCAATCCTCAGGCAATGGCAATAGAAAACGAAGGAGAAGGTGAGTTGACTTTTTATGCAGCCAGTATTAGGAAGGAAGTGCATGCAGTCAGGTCTCTTTTAACTTGTAGATGTGTATGTTGCTTTTGATTCAGTGTCTATTTCAAGGCATTGTTCAATTCATTGTTTGCTTGTTTGAGCTTGATATTATAATATTTTTTTTTTGCTGTAAAGGTGGGCCTGCTCCCATTGAATGGGTCTTCATTCAATGCTCAGTTGCCAGAGCACAGTTTGTCATGCTAATGCAGATGCCATGGGTTCAAATTCCGTTAGAGCCCCCCACCACCCCTCCCCCCTCCTTTTTTCCCGTTTCCCTTTGCTTGCTGTTTTAATTACAATGATAATATCTGCAAATTAAACCCATTAAACCCTTAAGCGTTTGATTAATCTTCAAAAATGGGTTATCAGAATAGTTTCCAGGGGTCCTTTTGATGCACATGCCAATCCTATTTTTGTAAGCCTACGAATTCTAAAATTTGAAGATATTATCAAACTCCAAATAAGTAAAGTTATATACCTTAATAAAAAGCACCTTCTTCCTAACAGTTTCAGTGACATGTTTTTGCTTAACTGTGACGTACATTCATTTAGAAGTAAGAATTCCATCCGTTTCTCCTACTACAGGACAAGTGTAAGAAAATTTTCACTTTGTTTGTAAGGGCCCAAAATATTTCATTCCCTTACTTCTGAAATTCAGACTACCTCTAGTATTACCTTGTTTAATTCTAAACTTGAGTCATTTTTTCTTGGTATCAGGATACTTTAGTTCTCTTAATGCTTGTCATTTATTCTTGCATTATGTTTTTTCTCACCTTTCCTTTTTCGTTTTTTGCACTTACACGCCTTATCACTTTTCATCTATGTTCTTAAAAAAATTGTGCATACTTATATAGTTAAATTGTTTTGCCGATGTCAGTATTTTATTTATTTATTATATAACATAATTTTAAAGGGGGTCCTATTCACAAGCCTTATTGGCTTCCTTGAGCCCCCTTGCCCCATTTTCTTTTAAACTTAATACGTATATGTTTGTTTTTGATGGCAAAAATGACAATAAACAAATAAAAAAATAAATTGACAAATGATAGATGTGGGGAAGGTGCCTGGTGAAACTGAAAAACTGAAGGGAGCCACAAGCGAACCTATAAGGTAACCATGACAACCCTACATATATGAGCAGCACCCTCCTGGCACTGTCAATGAGACCTTCAACGGAGAAATGCGCAGATACTCACCAAAAAAAAACATCTAAAGGGAAGGGAGGGCTGGGAGCAAAAAACAGGTTAAGCTACTGCATGCAAAAGCAACATATGATACTGTGAATCATTATATTCTGTTAGATAAACTTGAGTATTATGGATTCAGGGGGATTGTGTTAGAATGATTTCGTAACTTCTTAACAAATAGGAAACAAATAGTTCATTATAGATCCGTTAAGTCGACAAATTCCATCGTTACTTGTGGGGTTCCCCAAGGGTCTATCTTAAGCCCCTCGTTTTTATTGTATGTAAATGACATTTCAGAAAGTTCAAGTTTGTTATCATTTTTGCTGTTTGCAGGTGATACTAATTTATTCATCAGTGACAAAGATTTATATGTTATTCACCGGCTGGGAGGTCTGTAGTGGGAGAAACTGTGCCCGAGGTCTGAGTACGGCCGAGGTTGGTACTCAGACCAAGAGCACAGTTTCTCCCAATACGGACCGACCTAGGCCAGTGAATAACATTTTTGTTTTTTTCCTTTGGGAGATTTAAAACTTTTAAGAAAATTTTACTTCATCCTCCAACCTATGCGTATTGAAGCAGGATGCATCCATGTTGATGAAGCGTGCAATCCATTGCAAACCAAAACAAAACATTACAACATGATTTTTAGCCCGCTAATTTATATTATGACAAGCTCTCAATCTTTTTTAATAGTGAAAGGTTTTTGTGACTTGGTAGACAATTCACAATCTGAGAGTCAAACAAGGATAAAAAGATTGACGAGTTTAATTTTAAAAGCCCCAGAAAAAATATACAGCGAAGATTTTCTTTGGCTGAATTACTTCATAAAGGTTAGTTCAATCAAGCAGGATGAAAACTACACAAAGGCTTTATAAAAAGAGCTATTAACACATACCAATCCTAAAGTTTTGAATTGAATTTGAATAAAAGAAGGCGATGTGAGTAATAAGTATTAAAGAATTTGAAATGAAAATGGCAATAACCGCGTGCTGGAAAAGTGATTGGTATTGTATATTTAAGATTGAAATCTAAATCGGTAATCATTGACAACAACATTTTCTGATATAGAAAACTAGCTAGCGAGGCAAAATTCAATGAAAAATGGCATAATCTAGATTCAGACAGCGAAAACGGAAAACAAAACTACAAACAGAGCAAAAATGTCGAATAAACAGTGCACAAAAGCAAGATTACAGTACTTACAGGGCGGTTATTAAGCTAGTGAAGCAACATCAGGAGCCAACTGTTTTGCTTTACTTTAGCGGTTTTCCTGGCTGACTTGCTTGATTCTCCCTTCAGATTTTTTGTCTGAAAAATAAAATTCCCTTTTCCCTTACTAATGGCAATAATAGTGCAAGCTTGCAAGCTTTAAAAGAATGCTGGGTTAAACATCACGGTTTTGCTCATTCGCAAACAACAAACAAACTTGTGAATGAAGCTGCCAAAGATTCTGCCTGGGTTCGCGGGCAAGATCGTAAAATACCGCCTGCTCTCAGAACTAATCAGATTGCAGGATTTGGAGGATTCTGCCTGCTCACAAGCTTGAAAAAAAAAAAATTAAAATATTATTTGACAATGCTAATCGAGAGCTTTGTAAAGTTGCAAATTGGCTTGCTGCCAACAAGTTGTCATTAAATGTGAAGAAAACACATTTTGTAATTTTTAGAGTAAAAAGCTGACAATAATATTAACGACACATATAGGACCGGTAATCAAAATATTGAGCAGGTAAATAGTACAAATTTCTTAGGGTTGAATATTGAACAAGATCTATTGTGGAAACACCATATTAAGAAAGTAAGTTCCAAGATTGCAAAGTTGTCAGGAATAATGCTTAGAACAAGCTGGCATCACTTAGTGCTAAAAATACTGCAAACAGTTTATTATGCCTTGGCTTACCCTCTCTTGACTTACTGTAATATCGTATAGAGTGGTACCTTTCCAGCAAGGCTCGAGGGTGTATATAATTAAAATTCAAAAGAAAATTGTAAGGATTGCAACGTTTTCAAAATTTACACAGGAAACAAGGCCTATATTCCTTTCTCTGATTTTTTTACTAACAATATACGAGTTAAACTCTTATCTATTAGCATTATTCATGTATTCTTACGTTAGAGGACAATTGCCGCCATCTTTTTCAGATTACTTTTTGGAGAATAATACTATTCATTCCTATAATACAAGGTCCACGAACAAAGTATACATTAAGTATGAACTGAACTAATACTATTCTGAGTTAGATATGAAGGTGCTATGATATGGAACAGTTTGCCAAATAGTTTGAAGGAAATCAAGTCATTGCAGTTGTTTAAAAGAAAATTGAAATGTTTTGTTGAACAGAAATATACTGACTCTATATAGTGGAACACACATACAGTGTAATACTCTTGCTGCCTAGTAATATGAAAGGGCCACCATATTCAATACGAATGTAAAGGGGACCTCCTTGGAAAAGTTCAGCTGAGCTTGCAGAGATCTCCTGCTAATAGATTATGTTATGATGTAATACATTAGTAATTAAGTGGCAAATATGAATTAAAAGATTGATTATTTGATTGATTGATTTGACATAGCAACTTGAGCAAAATTATTCACTTCAGCAAAAGTGCTGTAAAATATGCTAAAGCCCAAGACCGCCCCATATATAATTAGTGATGGAGACGGCTGCCTAAATTACATACATTTAGCCACATTAACCCAATCAGCAATAGATGGGTGTGGGGAAGGTGCATGGCGCAAACAGGGGAGTCAAAGGACTTGGTTTCCCCAAGGGCATTAAACACCAACCCCAAAATCCCTTGTAATAAAAACTAAAGAAAAGCAACTCACCACTGAAGATGAATAGAAGACCAAATGCCTGCCTGAAGTATGTCCACCAGAGCAATGAAGGTGTAAGCTGTCTGTAACCGCATCCAAACTGACACAACTGCATGGGAAGGGGGCTGTACATATTTCCACAGTTCACACCTTCCTCATTTTTCATCCATTTTCCAACTCCAATTAGCTTTTATTTTTTTTTCCTTTTTTATGGAAAGTTAGATGAGCAAAATAATGTAAACTACTGTATATTGCTGTAGGAGTGTCTTCAACTCAAGTGCCATTTTCTTTGTTGTTCTATAGGAGTGTTCACAGCAGCATTTGACTGTCAAATTGAGTGGTTAATTGTTAAAGGAATAGCTGATTATGCAGATGGTTCCCAGTTGCCTTCAGCGAGTTGGTTGTCCTGTGCTAGTGTGATGGCAGCATCTCTTGTTGCACACATTTTGAGTGAGCCCTGTGTTTTTCATTCATGGCCTCATTACCAAGGTAAATATTTCTCATACTGTTATTTCCCTTTTTTTTAAGGGAACTAGTGGTGTGTTAGAATGTACTTCCCTGATGCCATAGTGACTCAACACTGCATTATGGGGGAGGTGCCACACATGACATTTTTTTCTGTTTCTTTTTGGTGTAGTTATTAATATTTGTTACGGTTTCTTAAAGGAACCTACAAACTGTAAGAGCATTGAAGAGATCTCTCGTCATTTTAAACCAAAAAGAGATTGAAGTACAGTCATGAAACTGAACAAAAAAAAGTTGAGGATGTTGTGTGAAACAGGGTAATTAGATTACAAGAACCTTCTATTGTTTAACAACCGCCACCAAGTGTTCTTAGCTGATGAGTCTGTTTTTTTCCAGCAGTCATATTGAGCTGACCACATAGCTATATTTCTTTTTTTTAAGTGTTACAACTACACTAGTCTTGATATTATGCAGTTTTAGTGATGTTATTAGTAGCAGTTATTTCTAGTAGATTCAGTCTTGAATGTAAGTGAGAGTAACTGAACAAAAACATTGTGGATTTTGTTGTGAAATGAGGTATAGGTTGGAAGAACTTTTTTTAGGTTAATTATATAGACACCGATGAAATACCAGGATTTTTCCAGTGACAAGAATTTGGTATCCAGTGAAGATACAATTTTTATCCTTCACATGTGAAGATGTCATGGTTGTCATGGCTACTTGAGTCTCAGCCAATAGGAAAAGAGCATCACAGCATCTCAATATCTCGCTCATTCGGTGTGCTCACTCGTCGTGAGATATCGAGTTGAACACTCGAAGATAAAATTTGTATCCACGCGCTGTCATGTAATATCCTCTATTTAACAACCGCCACCAAGTGTTCTCTGATGAGTCTGGTTTTTTTTGTTCAGCAGTCATATTGAGCTGACCACATAGCTATATTTCTTTTTTAAGGGTGCAGTCGATTGGAAAATCTAGATTTCGATTTTAAAATCCAGATTTGGGATTTGCAATCGAACACGAAATCCGCAAGGGGATTTCAACACTGAGATATCTGTTTTTGGATTTCCTTTTTACCGTTCAATTGGGAAATCTGAAAAAGATTTAACAAACTGCCCTTAAGAACAGCGGTCTAGCATATGCACACATAATTGGCAAAAAGAAAAGCGCTATTCACAAGAATAGTTTTGCAAATCCTTTTTCGTATTTCCCAATCAAGTGGTAAAAAGGAAATCCGTGAAATCCGGATTCACCCTTTCACCCTGAGGACAGATTTCTCGGAGATGAAATCTGTTTTCGGATTTCGCGTTTGATTCCAAAATCAGAAATCCAGATTTCAAAATCTAAATCCTAAGTGTTAAAACTACACTTTTAGTCTTGATATGCACTTCTAGTGAGGTTATTAGTAGCAGTTATTTCTAGCAAATTTCTTGAATTTAAGTGAAAGATCTCTTTTATCTGCAGATTTATCAGAGCAGAGCTCATCCAGCAGAACAAACGAACAGTTACCAAGTACCTCAGGTAACAATTTAAAGCCCCAGTCCACACCAATCCGGATATCTTTGAAACCGCATATTTTTTTTACATGAATAGGCACGGAAGACTGAACTGCTTCACTGGTTCAGTGTTGAAGGGAGGCCGTCTTGTGATAAAGAAAATGTGCGGTTTCAGAAATATCCAGATTCGTGTGCACAGGGACTTTAGTGTCTAATGCTACATTGTACATGTAGGCATTTCAACATGTTACGAGTTTAAGCTACATTTTTCCGTTCATTTTTCCTTCCTCTTGTTTTTTGTTTCTATCCCTTTTTTCTCGTTTTTGGTTTTAATTTTATGGTTTGTGTTTTCTTGTCATGGTTGATGTTTTTGGAACTCTCATATCAGGGGTGTCGTGTATATTAGCTAATAATTGGGCAAAATTATTTTGTCCTTGGAGGGGGGGAGCACTTATTTGAAGGCGGATGCTAATTTGAACGTTCACAGTACATGTGTTCCATTTAATTGAAAAAAGACCCTCTTCCCTCTCCTCTGTTAAGTTCTCTTGTCTAATTAGTACAATTTGCTCTCCGTTCCTTAGCTTATTTGTTAAATTTGTAAGGTTTTCACACCCTTATCCTGAGCGACTGACTTACGGTACAAAACAACAACAACACAGCTTCAAAAGCCATGTGTAACGTCAATGAACGAGTTAAAATAATCAGGAAATTTTGATTTTGTAATACTAAATAAGAAGGGGAGGCCAGTATAATGTAAACTAATTGTAGTATGAAAGTTTTGAAATCTGTAATTATCTAAAAAAATTGATCAATAACGCATGAAGAATCTTGCTCCAGTGTTAACCTGAGATCAGGCTCTATTTTTATTTCACGCTTAGATGTAAATGGCCGTAATAGAAAAACTGCGATTATCAGTTCTACCACAAAACTTGTACAATCAACTTCCTACTGCTCAATGCTTTAGAGACTATTTACGTTTAAAAAGATTTACTTTTCTCTATAAACAGATGCTGCAACTGCTTTTTTGGAGTGGAGTCAAAATCAGCTTTGTTCATTTTACAACAGCACCGCAAGCCAGTTAATGATTACCCCTTGGGACCGAGATAATACCATGGACATTGATGAGGTGTATGTACAGTTAACACTGCTAAGAGATGACAGAAAACTTGCTGGAACAACAAAAGAAAAGACTAAAGATTACAGTGAGATATTCGAAAGCCATGGTCATCATCTAATTCCTAAGAGAATTTTAGTGTATGGGAGGCCAGGAATAGGAAAGTCGACATTGACAAAGAAACTCGCCGTTGACTGGTCACGAGGTAATAAAGAAATCCTAAAGAGGTTTGCTGTTTGCTGTACTTTTAATTAAGCTCCGAGATGTTTGCAACACGCAAGACTTCTGTGCCATGCTACAAAAGGCGGAGCTGTTGTCCGCAGGTGACCCTATGGTGTTTAGCCAATTGTATGATTACATTCTTCGTAACCAACAGAAAGTCCTACTTATTTTAGACGGCTATGATGAATATAGCGCCGAAAAATCATCGCCATTTCATCTGATGTGGAAAGGCACTCAATTGAGAGATTGCACTCTTCTTGTGACAACACGATCGCTGAAAAAAGATGAGTTAAGACCAGGAAGTCATGCTCAGATTGAAGTTAAAGGGTTTAATCAGTGGCAAGTTAAAGCATTTGTTCTTAAATTTCTTCGCGATCAAACAGAAGTAGAAAAGTTTTCAAATTTCCTGTATGGACACAACCTGTGGGACTTGGCGGAAATACCACTTCTTTTGTTAATGTTGGTTCTAAGCTGGAAGGTTTCTGATTATCAAGGACCATCAACATCCCGCGCAAATCTGTATAACAGTTTTTGTCAGACGCTGCTTGATCACGTGACCGCAAAAACCTTAGATGAGACATTTAGAAGCGTGGATGAATACAGAGAAGACCTCGCAAAGTTGGGGGAACTTGCCTGGCAGGCACTTTTAAATGACTGTCTTTATTTCAAGCTCAGCAACTTGCCCGAGGACATTCGGTTATTCCTTGAGAAGTTTATCGATTTTGGCTTTCTACAGACTTCTAACCTTTCAGACTCTCCTCATCCTGAGAAACTGGCGTTCTTTCTTCATAAATCGGTGCAAGAATTCCTTGCCGCTTCGTTTTTAGTTCGTGATTTAAAAAAGGCCGAGGAACCCTTCAACTCTCTGTCTAAAGTCGACTCATTTAAACGGTTTAAGGAGTTGTTTGAAGTTTTCAAGTTTGTGTCTGAGTTGTCATCAGAAGCTACCATTGCTGTTTTTAGCCAACTGAAGATGATAGGAGAAACAGAAGGTCTGGTAGATTACAACTTCGGTGAAAACCCTTCTGTTAAGGAACTCACAGAAGAACAAAGACAGTTTAATCATACTTGTCTAGATCTTTTTGTTTCCTGCCCTGCCTCAGACAGACAAGCTGTCTATCCTTCTTTTCTACAATGCCTCAATTTTGTTATAGTGATAGATTTAGACAATCCCTCCCTTTTGACGTCTGCAGTTGCTAGAGAACATTGTTTGAGGTCATCAAGTGTCCATAGGCCAGATTATGTATTTTTTAAAGGAAACTTTGGCAGGTACGAAGAAGAATCTGACCAGCGTGATCAAAGGTCTTCTATCATGTTCGATTTGGACACAGTTGTTGTGACGTGTTATGGTGATTCAAAATCCGTAGATATTAAGTATTGCCATCTAGAAGCTCCCCAATTTTTCTTGAAGAAAGTTGGACAGCGATCAGTCTTATGTTTAACTCTCCTTGAGGCATTTCCATGGATACGAACCGATGGTCCGAAATGCGATGAACTGCTTAGATCATTAATATCAGCACCAAATTCCTCTCTTCAAGAGCCTGATCACGTGTCACAGAATCATGATGTTCGCAACTCTTCACAGTTAACTGAGAAAACATCTGACCAGACTCTGACCCACTCTCTGTCATATTTGAGAGAGATTAAAATTTGGGTACCAACAAGTGAACTTGTCAGTTTACTGAATAATCTTCAACATGTGCCTCGACTATCCAAGCTCGATTTACATGGTGTTGGTATGGAGAATCAAGAGTGTCAGTTACTTGCCACTGCTTTAAAGTATGTTAATAAGTTACGCTTACTGGGGTTATCAGGTAACCCACTCGGTCACGGGATAAGTGTGCTTGCTAAACACCTGCACAGTGTACCTCATCTACAAGTGCTGCTCCTGGAGAGTACACAGATGGGTGAAGAGGAAGTTTCAGCTTTAGCCCATAGTTTACAGAATGTGACTCAGCTGAGTGAACTTCGCTTATCAAACAACGCACTCGGTCACGGGATATTTGAGCTTGCTAAACACCTGTTCAGTGTGCCTCATCTGAAAGAGCTGGACCTGAGTGCTACACAGATGGGTGAGGAGGAAGTCACAGCTTTAGCCCGTAGTTTAAAGTATGTGACTCAGCTGAGTAAGCTTGACTTATTAAACAACCCACTCGGTCACAGGATAAGTGAGCTTGCAAAACAGCTGCACAATGTACCTCATCTAGAAAAGCTGTGCCTGCAAAATACACAGATGGATGAAGAGGAAGTTACAGCTTTAGCCCATAGTTTAAAGAATGTGACTCAGCTGAGTGAACTTCACTTATCAAACAACCCACTCGGTCATGGGATAAGTGAGTTTACCAAACACCTGCACAATGTACCTCATCTGAAAAAGCTGCACCTGGATGATACACAGATGGGTGTAGAGGAAGTCACAGCTTTAGCCCATAGGCTCGTCAACGTACCAGAACTGGAGTTCCTTTCGCTTGGCAATAATCCGCTGGGCCGTGGAGTGACTGAACTAATCAGGTGTCTCAGAAGTAGTCCTCAACTTTCTGATCTCAGCCTTGAAAAAGTTCAACTGACGAAGAAAGAAGCCACTGAGCTGTGTACATTAGCAAATGAAAGGAACCTCTTGGGGGACCCCTGGAGGTCCTTCCCACACTTTACATCCTTCGTGACAAAGAAATGGAACATGTACTTGAAGTCAGATTATCATGTAAGTTTCTCTTTTGTGATTCCCATTATTAATGCTCGTAATACCCAGGAACTTCCTGGTAGACGAAAAGGAACCGTTCTTCAAAGGAGCTGTGTCGCCATTCTTATCCATACTAAAAAGACACAATTTTGTAAAAGAAAACTTGTCGAATAGTGGTCCAGCCGTGACACCTGTTTACATAATGTTCCTTCTAGAAGGACGATTACACGTGTACGTTTCGTTAAAGTGATGACTTTTTCAGTCACGCTGAGGTTGGTACGCAATTAGAGACACACCATTGTTTTTGCAAAACAGTCATGGCTACCATGTTCACGAACTAACTTTACGTTATTTTTAATCCGTTGGTGCTTGTCTTCTTTATCATAGACGACCCGTATTGGTACATGGCAGCCTACATTTTGCGTACTTACAGAGGCAGAACTGCAAGAAAAGGGAGTCACATTTGATAAAATGGTACCTTACTGGACAGGCAATGACTACTACCCACTGTGTGGCAATCATTTAGGTATCTCTGTATTCAAAAATCCCCTTGGATATGACTTATATCCCTCCAATTTTAGTATCCCCCATTTTGGGTATCCCCCTAATTAAAGTATCCTCGCATTTCGGATGCCCCCCAATATCCCCGTATTTTCATGTCACCCTAAACTAAGTGTCTCGCATTTTGGTTGTTTTCTTGATTTAAGTATATTTTGAACCCGTGCCCTCAAATCCCTGGTGATGTGGGTGAAAACACTGATCCTACCTTGGTCGTTTTACAACCACTGAAACTGGCTCTACAACTTGACTTCTTTATAATGTTGTTGTTGTGTCAGTTAGATGCGATGTCCTTACAAATAGTGGAATTGAATTGTAGTTTTTATTTCACAATGGTCGACCACCAGCTCAGTAATAGATCTTCAAGACAAGTTAAAAAGAAGTTAAAAAGAAATGGCTATTGCGATTGCCGGTGATCACATAGATAAAAACCACCAGCCGTCAAAACTTTCCTCTTATACTGATGCAACATTTTACGTGTGCATGCAGTGTCTTTTTGTGTGCAAAATAATCACACAAGGGACCCTGTAAACAATCACACGAAGCCATTTTATTTGCCGGAATTCCTGTCCAAGATACAAAATACTGTGAGTAGCTTGAGTGGCAGGCATGATCCGGAGGGGGCACGTCGCTTGTACGGATCACGCTTGCTACCCAGGGTACGCTGCGAACGATAGCACTTCGAAGCAACAACCCAAATAACAAGGGATGTTAGTTTCCCGGTAGGGTACTAGGGGATACCCAGGGTACGCTGCGAAGGATAGCACCTCGAAACAACAACCCAAATAACAAGGGATGTTAGTATCCCGGTAGGGTATTAGGGGATACCCGTAACACTGACCTGAAATAAAGAAAAAACGGCATCACGAGGGATTTGTATACGGAGTTACTCAAAACACAGGGATACTTAAAATTACGCTGGAGTAGATCGAGAGATTTTTGTACCTCTTAGCGTACACACTGCATGCGATACGTAATCATCATGAGTAAAACCAGGAGTCCATCAAACTTTTTTGAGATACAATTTTTTCGCGCACAGCCCCAAGGAAGAGAGAATGAACTCATCTTGCGCGAGACGATACCTGCATGGAAAATATATTGGCTTTGCGTCCTGGGAACCCTAAGCGAGACTCAATTTCGTAATTCCTACTCCTAAGCAAGAAGACGAGCTTTTCCGCCACTTTTGTATGGGCTCCTAGTATTACTTGATTTGTAACTCAACTAGAAGCGCCATTAATTTCCTTATACAGCTTTCTACTTTTCAACGTAAACACAAAATAGTTCATTGCATTTTTGGCTGTTCCATGTTATGGTTCAAAACTCTTTTCGGCTCCGGTTACAACCAGTTGAAAAAATGTTGAGACACTTTTACGAAAAACCGATTTGTACTACTTCAAATCGCTGCTAGTCACACACCTCACCTCCCTCCTCCTTTCCATTCAAAGTTGTTCCTCCAAGTTTTGAGCATGGTCTTGTATTGCTAGCAACTTTGATAAGGGGTGGAGGGTGGATCACAAGCACAAGATATTGACAGCCAAAATAGGTACAGTACAGTGTCTCAAGTACTTTTGCAACTGGTTGTAGCTATACCATGTAACTGGTACAACCGATTGAAACCTAATACCCTCGTGAAGCCACTCCTTAGGTCTACTGGACTCAGCCCCTTCCCGCTATTTAAAGGTGATTTCCGTTTTCCTTAGTGATACTCGCTGTTGCGTAAGATGCAAACGATTCAAAATGTCTGTTGAAGAAGTTCGTAATTTTGCTTTTAAGTCTGGTTTTCATGTAATCCTCCATATCGTCCAAATCGTCTGAAAAGCCTAAACTGTGTAAAGGTGATAGAGGCAATCAAAACCAAGCTTGAGTTTTCAGCCCCATGTAATTATTACCTTGTGTAGCTGACTGTTCATTAGCAGTGACTAATAACAGTCCAGTTTGTTTGGTGATATTACTTCGTGTTTCCCTTTCGTAAGCCGTTTCACTAAGGCAATATGCAGGCTTCCTAGTGCAAAGGAGTTTTAACAGTTTCTACAAACATTTTTTTTTAATTATTTGAAATCGCAAACAAATCGATATTGTACATGATCAACATCAGCGTGTGATTTAGCCTGTTCATTAGCAATGACTAATAACAGTTCAGTGAATTTGCTGATATTGCTTTGGTCGTACGTTTTGTTAATGTGTCCTTCTAGGACAGTATAACGCTTTCAAATGCAGAGTGGTTTTATCTGTAACAAACAGTTTCAAGAAAATGTGGATTCCATGAACTAGCAAGCAGATCAACATTGTACAAGACGATAAACTTGCGGTTTAAACTGTACATAATTTACGTATTCAAGTGATGCAGATGAGATTATATTTTCTACCTGCAAGTTTAGATTTGCAAAATATAAAACTAAGGTAGCTTTCTGAATTCAGGTTCAGGAGTAAATTTGTTGCCTGTACTGTTCATTAGCAGTGTCTAATAACAGTTCAGTGTGTTTATTTTGATATTAATGCTGATTTACTTAGCTCTGGCAATATTTAGAATGCATCCAGATGCAACGTATGTTTCTCAGTTTTATGAAATGAGCTGGCACACAAGTCAGCATTGTGAAACCGAATATGAGCCTTACATTGTAAACTATACATCATTTACGTATAACCAGTAATGTATTTTTGTTAACAATGTTAGTTATTGTAGCTGATGCAGATAAAGTTTTTCCTATCTGCATTTTTAGATAGTCTTGTCCGAGTAAACAATATACAGTTATGAATTTTAAATACTACGATGCAAATTTATTATATAAAATAGTCACTCTCTGGATTCAGATCCAGGTTCAAAGCAAATTTGTTGTGTGAACTGTTCATTGGCAGTGAATAATAACAGTTCAGTGTGTTTGCTCCGATTGTACAATATACGGTAATGAATTCGTAATACTACCATTTAAATTTATCATTATAAAAGTCGCTCTCTGGATTCAGATCCAGGTTTTAAGTAAATTTGTTGTATGCACTGTTCATTAGCAGTGACTAATAACAGTTCAGTGTGTTTACTCCGATTGTACAATATAGAGTAATGAATTCATAATACTACCATGTAAAGTTATTATATAAAATAGTCGCTACCTGGATTCAGATCTAGGTTTTAAGTAAATTTGTTGTGTGAACTGTTCATTAGCAGTGACTAATAACAGTTCAGTCTGTTTACTCCGATTGTACAATATACAGTAATGAATTCATAATACTACCATGTAAATTTATTATATAAAATAGTCGCTCTCTGGATTCAGATCCAGGTTTTAAGTAAATTTTTCTGTATGAACTGTCCTTTCCATGAACTGACAAACAGATCAGGAATGACGATACGAAGAACATGATCTTTGAACTGTTCATCGTCACATACATATTATTTAGTGAAGTATCATAATACAAGGATTTAGATTTAGTTTTTGTAAGCGATACAGCTGTGATTATTCCTACCTGTCAGTTTACTGAATATTTTTAAAGTAATCAAGAATGCTTTTTGAATTCAGATCCAGGCTCAGAGTAAGTTTAATGCCTGCACTGTTCATTAACAGTGATTAATAACAGTCAGTGAAATTACTCCGACCGTTCATTTTTTTATTGAAACTTATTCACAAGGTGGGGTAATATTAATGCACCCAAGTGCAGCGCGAGTTTCTCTGTTTCATCAAAACATAATTTCCGTGAGCTGGCGAACAAATCAGTTTTGTAAAATACGATGAAACAGTTTTTTAACTGTACATCTTCTAGGGATATGCAATGATGGATTTATAAAATTAGATAAGTTTTTATGCTAACTGGTGTCATAATACGGTAAACCTACGATTTAACACAGGTCACCAAAGCCTAAATATAAGACTTCGTATACACTATAGAAGATAACACACCGAGAATAAATACATTAGATAAATTTTTACAGGTAAAATTCTTCAATAAAGTGCTATTACAGTCACCTGGTGTTCTTTTCTGCCTCTCTGTTCTCAGCGCAATTTAAGGATGAGAATGCACAATGTGGAATATGGGGCCATTACAAATTGTGGTTTATTCTGAACGAATGTTGCTGAGGATTGAGCAAAATTGGAAATGTTCAAACAAAAACGGCCTATACGCAAAGGCTCCACCCCAAGGGAATACAATTTCCAGGCTTCAAGTATATGGGAGTTTTGGGATTTCACTTGTTGAGGTATATGAAAGAGTAGGGAAAACTGTCATTTCGGTTGGTAAAAACCCAAAAATGGCTAACAGACGCATTACATGGCTGTGAAAAGAGCTGAGTAGCTGGTTTTGTGATTTATTCATTTACAACAGTTAAGAGGGATGCAAAGTTCTAAACAAGGTATGTGAAAGGGGTCCCATTTGTCAATAGAAGGTATGTGAAAGGGGTACCACTTATCCATAGAAGGTATGTGAAAGGGGTAACCATTTGTCCATAGAAGGTATACCGAAGGGGGACCGTTCTGTCTAAAATGGTATATAAAAGGGTAAGGGGTTGGACCTCAGGGCGGAGCCTCCCCGTATTAAACTTTGTTGAGAACCCCCGGGACTTCAATCTTTGCTGAATTCCTAAGGAAGCCTTTCTCCAAAAGAACAAGATGAAATTATTGTTCATAACATTTCCACTGGTAATCAGCGTATTCGAGATATTACCGGACATTTGCAAGTATTGCAACTGAAAGTCTGAGACAACAAAAACTGAAGTCCGAGTCAGAATTTTGTAGCGGCGGCTCGGTTTCATGAAGGTGAAAGACAAAAAGAATTCGCGCAAGCTTTGTTGAGCATAATATCAGCTGGGTTTTTCCTTTTTTTGTTTTTGTTTTTTGTTTAAAGAAGTATAATTCATTCGTGGCTTTCCCACGAACATCAATATAATTAAGCAGAATTGAAATGAGCTTAACCAAACAAATCGTTAGCATTTCAGAATTGTTTCGTGCTCCCTAAATTGACATTAAGAATGAAGGTGATGCTACACGGGACAATTTGCAACGACGATTTTTAGCACAACACAGCGTTGCAACATTGTTCAAACATTGCAACGCTGTGTTGCACGATTACAACTTTGTTGCAGTGGTCATGAGAAATATCGATCTGCTTTGCACGCGAAGCATAATAGTCCCCAGTCTCCTTTTGCACAATTTGTTTATGTCCCTCAATCTCCGGAGTGCCAGGGATTTAGCAAACCCCGCTTCCCCTTACACTTACAGGACCGACTCACAGGTCCGATTCACGTCTCGGGTTCGGAATTAAAAGTACTTAAGTGTTGGTCTCGAATTTTGAAACCAGGGTCTCGCAGTGTTGCCAAATGTCGAACCCCTAACGATGAAGAATGTAAACCGTATTGTGTGACTGGCCCCCCTCGTCAAATAATGCCACAAAGTTAGAACAAAAAAATGTAAGTATGTGCGACTAAATAAGCGACTTTGTCTCCCACCTTGCATGACACGAAACATGAGAGTGCAGCCCAAAAAAATTATCTGAAAAAATCTGGCTCAGACTTCAGTATCGTCTGCTCCGGTGGTAATTCAATTTCGCCTTGTTGACTTGTTCTCTGTGGGAGCAAAGCCTTCATACAAATTCAGGAAGACAAAATTCAGGATCCAACACTGTAATGTGTCAGTTATCTGCTACCAATCCCTTCGAAGCGATTTATTTTGCTGGAAAACGTCATATTAGTTTCCTGCTGAGTTATATTGGGGACAGTAATTTGGGTAAATTAACCGCCAAGCACGCGATGCCTGTTTTTGTAAACCAAAATTCGTTAACCTGCTCGATGTCTGACCGTAAAACGTAAAAGGAATGCAATCTATAGGAACCATCCAACGTTCTTGCTTAACATCGCCCCAATGACATTATTTAAAAGAAAGATAGCGGCGAATAAAAGTTACGAAGATTTACTATTTTGTCTCAGGTATAAGCTTACATTTTCATTTTATTGGCATGCAAAAATATATCGAGTGCCCACGGATTTTAAGCATGAAATGGTCCACAAAGGGTGAAATATTTACCTCCTGTTTCAATTTTTGATCTAAATCGGAGTGCTAGTAAGAAAAAAATGTGTTCAAAAATGTCTATTTTTCAGTCTTGTCAAAAAACGTTTCCCCTCCTGATAAATGACAATGAAGAGGGGCCGTCAGAGGGGGCCTAGAGAAAAATTGATAAATTTTTATTGAGAGGAAGGATGACATTTTGCTATCATGTAAACAAATTTTTAACTGCTAGTCTGCTTTCTGAAATATTTACCGAACAAAACTTCAATTTCAGGGAGAGAATTGTCCCAAAAATGCAATTTTTGGCCCAAACTTCCCCCCCTGTTACCCAGTGTAGGTTTTTGTTAGAAGTCAAACAAATGCCACAGTGAGTGGTTTCATCTGAAGTATTAACTACACACAAATTATGAGGGAAGGTTTTGTTTGATCATTTCCAATTTTGCACAATCCTTAGCGACATTCGTTCTTACGTTTTCTGAGAGGGAGATCGCGCAGGCTTCATTACTTACAACCCTCAAACTCTTCCCCACTACGAAGTACTAATAGGGAATTAATATTTCCGAGTTACCCCAAGCCTCTTTTTAAAAGCGAGGATTAAGAAGCAAAAAACTCGTTTTCGCAAGAAAGGTTTTCACCTAGCCTCATTTTCAAAGTGAGAGTAGCTGGAACGCTCAAATAGCCTATTGAGGACTGCATTGCTGTCACCTACTGGAGACGGGACCGCCATTTGTATGGTGCGTGGTGATCAAAGCAGTGCAAATATCTAGCCGTTTGCAGGGCAACTGAAATACCTTCCTCTTCGGTTATTTTATAGACAGTCGTTTTTTTTTTCCTCAAAATCGGTTTAGCATAGCTTTAGAGTCTCTCGAGCATCTCTCCACAGTCTCGCTCTCTGTTTTCAGCCTCTTTCCAGGGGCCTTTTGTTTGACTGTTCGCCTGTACTTGAATACGCAAAAATATCGACTGTTTTGAAGTCTGTTTATTTTAAGACCCTGAGTATTGGCCCGCCCATGCCCTCGGGAATCGAACCCGCGACTTCCTGCCCGCAGTAAAGCGTTCTACCGACTGAGCTAGTCCTGGCGAGGCCGCAGGCAATACATATGCGTTATTGACCAAGCTTTTTCTGTCAAGATGGCTGGATATTGGCCTCGTTCTTTTTTGCGTTTTTATTAACCGAGACCAGCACCTCGTATGAATTTCTACCAAGACAAAATTATTATATGGCCACTAAGAGGCCTTTTTCTTGCGGGACTAATGCGGGATATCCCGGGCAAGATGGGCTCGGGTAGCCAATCAGAATGCAGGATTCGCTTCATCTTATCCGCTCGCGGATTTTGCCAAACAAAAATAAGTTATTATTGGATGAAATAAAGTATGATGTGAAGAATTATGCGGATCGAGCAGAATGTTAACGGCCGAGGTGGATAACACCCTCCGAGATCGGTCTAATTCCTCCTATCATACGCAAGCCTAGTCTAATGACTGTTGTATTATTATTCATTCAAAATATATCAAACTAAGTTAACAAAACATGCTTTCCTCAATCTATGTAACGTTCCCGTCTTCATTACCGTTTGTCTGTTCTCAGGCAGTTTCAAGTTATGAAGGGATGTTTATCATAACAGGCTTTCTACAAATAACTATACTCACTCTTTACAAAACATCAATTTTTGTTATTCAAATTTATAACGATCGCGAGTGATTGCAGAAACGAGAATCTTTTGTTACAAGAAGCAGTGCGCTTCTAGTTGGCTCATTAATATCAATACGTGACTTAAGCGTTAATATCGCTACAGATCGTTTTCTGTCCCGTTTTTCTGGTCAGCAGCTATGCAAATTTCTTGGAACAAAAGAAAGTTTTTACATGAGAAAACAATTCAATCACCACAGGCCTTTCTTGGTACACAAACATGGCCGCCATTCCATTGTTTTGTACACCAATATACCCGCCGTGACGTCATGTGAAAACGATCTCCCGCCATTTTCTCCAGTTGTACCAAGAACAGCCGAGCTACCACGCCTTCAGTTGTTCCCTTTTTTGTCCATATTTGTAAAATTGACGTCAATAAAACTTGTCACGGTTTTCAACGCCATTTTTACGAGTAGGCAAGGAAATTTTGGCGCAGTTACCAAGCTTCATACAAATCTCTTAAAAGCAATCCATCCTACTAGCAATTCTCAGCGTTTTCTTTAACTTCGTCGAACTTGGAGAATTTAGCTTTACGCTTTGGCCTTTATTGAAGGTAAGTAACTTTTCTGGTTGTGTGGTAAAAATTATTTACCGATATCGGCAAAAGTCTTCCATAGTTGGTCAACGTTAGCTGTTTCAGTCAATTAACCAATCAGAAACAGCGTAGAAAGATAATGGACGGATCAATACCAAAATTTATTCATATTCGAGAGCCGAATCGCGAACTCAATAATTGTTTTAAAAATAGCAATCCCGTCACGCAATATACAATCACAAGTGTCACGCATCACGGACGACGTTCCCGTTTACCGTCAATCTCGTTCCCAGAGTCTTCTGGCTTTTTGGGCAGCGTGCCCCGCTGACCAAAAAGCCAGAAGACTTTGGGCACAAGATTGGTTTACCGTTTATTTCAATTCTTAAGTCCTGGTTAAGTGTGCCAGCTTACAGATATTTGAACAAAATTTAATTAGAAATTTATAATAAATAAATTAATTCTATTTAAGAATTTATGTATTTTAAAATGATTACAGTGAAAAACAACAACAATCAGAGGGACTACAAGGGCCTAATTGGCGAGAATGCCAATTCAGTTTTCATTACCCATTTTGTTTTGTTTTGTTTTTTGTCCTTTATTTTTCATACCACGTTTTGCTATCATAGTAACCTCCTTTCTGCCACACGCTGTTTTCGTCGAAGGCCGTTCCACCTTATGCATGTCATTTCCCAACAGACATTGAAAGTATTTTTCTCAGCTAATTTGTAGCCTTCGTGCACACTTACTGTATCCAATTATATTCCGCTTGGAGCTTCTGCACAACCACGCACTCGTGGAATAAAGCTGAAACGTCTGTGACGTGCTGCAACTTCACCCATTAAACTAAAAATGGCATGTATATTCTCCAAAACATTCTTTGT